ATTAATTAAGGAAGACCATCATTTTAATTCAACTATATTTAACATTCCTTTCATTTTAGCCTGTACCTCTCATCTCCATCTTTTTAAATGTGCCTATTTCAACATCCTCAAAGCATTTAATTTGTTGACGCAAGGTCTTCAGATTGGTATTTAACAAACATACATTAATTCCCCAAAAGTCAAAAAGGAATTTCGTCAAGAGTTACGTCCAACAGAGAGAAGTACTGCAAAAAGATTATCCTTCAGCTACAGACCATAATAAACCACTGCACTTTAAGCACTGAGTCATCTAGGTTGAAAGAAAAACAAGGCAATCAAGAAGGCGCAAAGAGGAAGCCCGAAAGAAGAAAAAAAAAGAAAGGAAAGGAAAGAAAACATGTTCCTTTGGTGCATTTGCTTCCTTACATCCTTACAAACTGTTACAGCTTGGCTTGACCCAGAGGGAGCCCATGTTAAAAGGTATCCCATCCAGGTTGCAATTCAAAACTCAGGGGAAAACAGCTTCCTACACCAAGGTGGAGAGTTCAGCGGGTTTAAAGAAAAGACAGAAACTTTCTTTTCCAACAGAAGAGGAAATTTACACTTCAGGGTTGAACTGTGCAGTTCTTGTCTCAAAGGTGCTTTTTTCAAAAGGCAACTGGATTGTTTTTTTTTCCTTGAGGAAGATGTTTCACATCTCATCCAAGCAGCTTCATCGGAAGAACAGAGGAAGCTTCTTGGATGAGAAGCGAAATGTCTTCAGAGAAAAACAGTTGCCTTTTTAAAAAAAAAAAAACCCCACCTTTGAGACAAACCAGGACCTGGATGACTTGAGAATCTCCATAGACACGTGGAGTCCTTGCTGCTCGCGCTCTCTCTCTCGCTTGGTGATTTTTCTTGCGGATGTTTCATTACCCCACTAGGTAGCATCTTCAGGGCTAACGAGGAAGCGGAATTTGCAAAATGAGGGGACGAACAACGAAATATCTTCAAGAAAACAACCAAACTCAGGGGGCACCAAGGACCCACAGCCCACCCCACCATATAAATATACATACATACATACATAAGGTAAAGGTTCCCCTCGCACATATGTACTAGTCGCTCCCGACTTTAGGGGGCAGTGCTCATCTCCGTTTCAAAGCCGAAGAGCCAGAGCTGTCCGAAGACATCTCCGTGGTCATGTGGCCAGCATGACTCAACACCAAAGGCGCACGGAACACTGTTACCTTCCCATCAAAGGTGGTCCCTATTTTTCTACTTGCATTTTTTACGTGCTTTCGAACTGCTAGGTTGGCAGAAGCTGGGACAAATCACGGGAGTTCACCCACTATGCGGTACTAGGGATTCGAACCGCTGAACTGCCGACCTTTCGATCGACCAGCTCAGCGTCTTAGCCACTGAACCACCGCATCCCTCGCTACTCAGTGTAGATAAAGTTAAATTCCATGGCTAGCAGGCTCTAAGTTGGGTGGACTTCCACATCCAGAATTCTGGGAGTCGAAGTCCACTTGCCTTAAAGTTGCCAAATTTGAGAAAAAAAACAAACAAAATCCCCTTGTCCGATGTTTTTGGAGGCATGTTATATTTAAAAATAATGGATTCCTTTACTTTGGTCCTCATGGTTCCCTCAGACCTTTGGCCATTCCAAACCACCTTTCTAAACTTTTTAGCCACTGAGCCACCGCATCCCATCCATCCATCCATCCATCCATCCATCCATCCATCCATCCATACACATACATACATACATATACATATAGATACATATGCATACATAGATACATATACACACATAATATACACATACAGATACATGCATACAGATACATATATACATACATATACATACACATACAATCCATAGACATACATCCATAGACGTACATCCATAGATACATATACATACATACAGATACATATACAGACATAATATACACAGATACATATACATGCATACAGATACATATATACATACATATACATACACATACATCCATAGACATACATCCATAGACGTACATCCATAGATACATATACATACATACAGATACATATACAGACATAATATACACAGATACATATACATGCATACAGATACATATATACATACATATACATACACATACATCCATAGACATACATCCATAGACATACATCCATAGACGTACATCCATAGATACATATACATACATACAGATACATATACAGACATAATATACACAGATACATATACATGCATACAGATACATATATACAACATATACATACACATACATCCATAGACGTACATCCATAGATACATACATACATAGATACATATACAGACATACATATACACAAATACATATACATGCATACATACATACATACATATATATAGAGAGAGGGAGGGAGATGGATGGTATGTATGCATGTTGTATGTATGTATATATGTTTATATGTGTGTGTGTATGTATGTATACAACCCCCCCCCCCAACCAACCAACCCACGGAAAGGCACCTGACAGGCCCGGGCGGCCGTTTCCCAGGCGGAGGCGGAGGAGGCGGAGGCGGCGTGAGGAAAGGCGGCTCTGCTTCCAGGGATTCCGCCTCCCCGGGCGAAGCCTCCGCGGGGCTCTCTCTCCACGTGGCCCTTCCGACGTGCAGCGCCGGGGCCGCGAGAACGGCGCCTCCCTCCCTTTGTCTCCTGCCCAGATCGCAGCCGAGGCAGAGCCCGCCACAACGGAAAGGCTGCCTGCCTGCCTGCCGGGCGGCTCCGAAGACCCGGCGTGGGGGGGGGGGGGGGGGGGGGGGTTGGCTCCGGAGAAGCGACCCCCGACCCAAGAGGGAGGCGGGGCAGGGGAAAGGCGGGGGAGCCCTGGAGCTGCCCGGGCGCCCTTTAAATGCCCCACATGGCCGGAGGGCTCCGCCCCTGAGGCGGGGGGAGGGGGAGGGGGAGGGGAGAAGCGCCCCCCTCCTCAGCTCCGGGCCTTCGGGGCGCCCCCTCAGCAGCGCCGGGCGAGGAGCGACCCCCTTCCCGCCCTCTCTCGCGAGCGTTCCCCGTCGGCTACGGTTAACGGCGGACGCCCCCGCCCAGAAAACCAGCCCGAGGCGGACCGCACTTCGGCCTTCTTACCGTCCCCGAGGAAAAGCCGCTTCTCCCGGCTGGGAGGGGGCGCGAACCCGGGGCCACTGCCCCCTCCTTTCGCTGAGCGCTCTAAGGGGAGAGGGAGGGGGGGAGCGGGCCACCCCGGAAGCGCTTCCCGCGGACACGCCCTACGACGGCCGGCGCCCTATCGGAGAGACGCCAGCCGGCCCGAGGCGCGCGTCACAAAAGTGTTTCCGGGGCCCGAACGCCTTAGCAACCGCGTCCGGTTGCTAAGCGGAATAGGGCGGGGCTTCGGATGACGGGCCGGCGCAGGCGCAGTTAGGCGGGAGGGTTTCCTTCAGCCAGAGGGAGACGGGGAGGGGTGGGGGAAGAGATAGAGACACGCAGATTGTGGGGTCACGTGTGACTTGTTTATATGCTGACCCTGGAAAGGGATCCCTGGATTGAGCAGGGATGGGAGACCACTGGGAAATCCCAGGAAGTGGGGGAATATCCAGAAAGTGACCAAGACAATGGGGCTGAGCCTGGCTAGGTGGCTCAGGGGCTAAGAAGCTGAGCTTGTCGATCAGAAAGATCAGCAGTTTGGCGGTTCGAATCCCTAGTATGGGTCTCCGGCGTGAGCAGGGGGTTGGACTAGAAGACCTCCAAGGTCCCTTCCAACTCTGTCCCTGTTACAAAGCATTTCTAGATTCTGCTCCCCAAAATAAAGGGTACTGGGCGAGGGAGAGGCAGCCCTGCACCCCGCACGAGTGTTGTCATCGCACAAATTATCCATATTCCACACTGGCTTCCGCTGTTTGCACAAGGTTGACGTTTGTGCATCAAAAGTGTCCTGTGAGGCTGTCGTACTTCAGTATTTTTCAACCTGGGCGATTTTAAAGAGGAGTCGACCTCAATTCCAAGAATTATGCAGCCAGCAGGGCAAGATGATGGCCACAATGGTCCAATTGAAGAGACAAACTTTTTTTAAAAAATGTGAATCCCACTTTTATTAAACAAAAGAAAAAGAAAAAGAAACATGGCTGTCTTGACTTTTTGGACATACCCCACAGACCTCGCTGTGGTATTTAGGAGGGTCTTAATTAAAACATTGCTCAGCTTCAGCCTAAAGATTTCATAAGCAGAAGTTTTGCTGAATTTGTAATAATCTCATCCTACATTAAAGAAACTTATAGTACCTTACAAAGGAGCAGAAGACGTTTATTCTGACTTCAAACCCAACGGCCTTTAGATTAACAGAGTTGGAAGGGACCTTGTAGGTCTAGTCCAACACCCACCTCACCCCACAGGAGACCCTACACCATTTCTGATAGATGGCAGCCCAGTCTCTTCTTGAAAGCTTCCAGTGATGAAGTTCTCACAACTTCTGAAGGCAACTTCTGTTCCATTGATTGATTGTTCTCCCTGTCAGAAAATTCCTCCTTATTTCCTGGTTGAATCTCTCCTTGTTCAGTTTCCATCCATTTTTCCTTGTCTGGCCTTCAGGTGCCTTGGAAAATAGCTTGACCCCCTTCTTCTCTGTGGCAGCCCCTCAAATATTGGAAGACTGCTATCATGTCTCCCCTGGTCCTTCTCTTCACTAGACTAGCCATGCCCAGTTCCTGCAACCGTTCTTCATATGTTTTAGCCTCCAGTCCCCTAATCCTTTTTGTTGCTCTTCTCTGCACTCTTTCTCGAGTCTCCACATCTTTTTTATAACGTGACCAAATATAATGGGAATTCTGGAAACTCTAATCTCAAAGCAGTTGAATATTGGGCCGGAATATGCTGCAGATGAACCTCTTTATCTTTCCCACTGCCCCAAAGTTCGATACAAGGAAAGTATGAATATTCATCATCTTTAAAATCATTTAAGAACCACTCACGGTCTGCACATAGACAAATCAGTTACCCAGATTAAAAAACAAGGGCAACTGTGCTGAATTCTGTAAAAACGCTCCTTTGTATCTTTATTAGGCCAATTTCACAATTACAAATAATGTAGTAATTGGTTAATCAGAAAGGATTTTAACCCCACCCCCAATGCTGCAAAAGAGAGATGGAAGCAAACTGGGAAATCTTTAGAAGCATTAATGTTATTTCTAATAACAGCAATTCTGTGCTTCGCGTTGCCTTTGTACCACATTTTGGCCTATTCAAGCTATTGTACAGGGCCATATAGAAAGTCTACTATTCTGCCACTGTAATGAGATACATTTCTTGGGCCTTGTTTTTTTAAAATCCAAAAGAATTATTCTTTCAGCTTTTTCTAGTTTATAGGGAGGACAAAAACTAGGTATCCAGCATAGCAACGAGTAGATTTTTTTACAGAAGCATAAGAATGTTATTTAACACTGATATGGCACAGAACTTTAATAAGTGCTTAAAAAAGCAAAACGAATTTAATACAAAGCATGTAGTTAGTAGTTAAGAATCATTAAAACAGTTTAGTATTAAGAGCATTGTATCAATGACCTGCCTTTTTTTTTTTTTTTTAGTCTGCCAACTTTTAAGTTATTTTAGTCAACAGAATAGCATGCCAGATGCTTATAAAGACTCAAATTCAAACGGAATATATGCAATATATATACAGCCTATACACAATGCTCTGGGAGCACAAGATCTGCTCGCAGATCTAGGATTAGCTCACATTTAATCATCTTCACATTCATCCTGTTCTGCAGGACAAGGAGGCAATGGACGTGCTCTGTCAACGGGGAAAAAAAATACAAGTCAGCAATCATTCATATTTCTAAAATTCCAGTAAACTATATTTTCAATAGTTGGGCCATTAGAAGAGACTAAAAATATTGTGATAGGGATGCAGCCTTCATCTTGAACTGGAATCTGTTTTCCAGTTAGAATAGCAGCCTTCTAACCTTCCTTGTCACACAGTCGCTTCCTTCTTTCTGTGTTGCCATGAATAAAGATTTCAGAACATGGTTTACTTTGACACAGGTCGAAAATTCTATTACCTAGGTCAGTGTTTCTCAAACCGCTGCAACTTTTAAGCTGCATGGACTTCAACTCCCAGAATTCCCCAGCCAACTCTTATGGGAGTTGCAGTCCATAACAACTTAAAAGTTGCCAAGGTTGAGAAACAATGAAATAGGTCTGTGATGGCGAACCTATGGCACACGGGCCCACAGTGGCATACGGAGCCATGTCGCCTGGCATGTGTGGCATCGCCCATTCCTCTTCCGGGTTTCTGGCATACATGAACGTGTGACAACCAGCTGGCCTTCGTGCTTGCGTCAGTGCCGGAAACTGGAAGAGCTGGCCTTCCATTGTCCAGCGTGAGCATGTGCGCCGGCCAGCTGATTGGCACGTGCGCATGCGTGGCAGTAACCTGAAAACTTGCCAGCCGGCACACATGCATACACCGGAAACCAGAAGTACATTTTCCGGCATGCGCTCGCCAGCTGATCAACGCATGTGCACGCGTGGCAGTAACCTGAAGAAACCGCAAGTACATTCTCTGGTGCGCGCATGCCCCTGGGCAACTCCTATTTCTGGTCTCGGTCCAGACGAGCGTGCGTGCGCGAAGTACTCCCTTTTCGGCACTTGGTGCCCCACGCGCGCACGCTCCCTTTCGCCATCACTGAATTAGGTAATGCTGGAAACACTATTTTAAAGAGCAATTTGCAAAAAGCAATGAAACGAAGCTTCACCGTGTGAAATAAGTTTCCCCAAAACTTTTTCCCCTAAATACCTAGTAAAAATCCATTTCAGACATGGATTCTCCAAAACTCATGCTGGACTGAGTGAACGAGGCTAGGGAATTGTCATTTTCACTGAGCAGTAACGAAGGGGTGTTTAGATCATATCAAGTGAGGTAGAAGTTTGAAAACATGCTTCACCAATTCTTCTATACAACATTAAGCCTCGAATACTGTGGCAGGTGTTTTGCCCCACTAGGAATGCAGATAGCCATCCTTACCTCTTTCTGCGTTTTCCTATTTCGCTGCACCCAGGCTCCTCCTCCAAGTTGTGGTTCTCTTTTTCCCGACGATTTGGAGTTTGCCCGAAGAATTCTCCGATGCCTTTTTGCCAGGAAGGAGTTGGCCTCACACATACCGGATTGCCTCCTGCGTACTTACTCTCCGCTGTAGAAAGCAAACCAGAATTTATCAGTGCCCAGCTAAGAAAGGGGAAAAAAAGCAACACATCCAACTTACAGGTAGGCCTCGATTTATGATCATTTTGTTCGACGACAGTTCGACGTTACAATGGCCTTGGGAAAAAGGTGATTTGCCACAACCTGGCCTCAAAGTTGGCACGTCCCCCGGTGTGTCATGCGATCACAATCCGGGCACTTGGCAACCTGCTCTCATTTATAACAGTTGGAGCAATTTGCAATCGCATCATGGCAATTGGCAACCTTCCCAACCAACTTCTACAGGAAAAGTTAAATGGGAAAGCCAGATTCACTTAACAATCACGTGACTTGCTTAACCATGGTGATCATAGTTATAAGGTCAGGTCTGGTCACATATTAACTTCCTTCATGACCATATCGTTTAGCCGACTTACATTCCAGTTTCGATTGTGGCTGTAAATCGAGGACTACCTATAGTAGCTACAAAAGCTTCCAGTCCACGTATGGATTAATTTCTGAATGCACAAGCTATCTCAAGTTAGTTAAAACAAGCCATCTTTGCTAAAATGTGATGCAAGAGTGCCAGAATGCACCAGATTATCTATCTCACAGAATTGAATGTGGGGCTGCTGCCTATTCCTAAAACATTTTAGGAATTCAGCCCGCGGTATTAAAAGTACAAAATATTTTAGGGGCGGCTCAAGAAGAAACAGCAGAATGACAGAAAAGCCCAGTAACCATATTAAACTTGGCAACAGCCCTGTGGATATTGCAGCTCTAGATTAAAACAGCCACAGCAGAGTATCTTCAATTTAAAGAAAGCTGAAGGAAAGCATACAAAAGCACCATGAAGGAGATAAGCTTCAGTCTGATTGCAGTAGTCCTCGACTTACAATAGTTCATTTAGCGACCGTTCAAAGTTACAACAGCCCTGAAAAATGTGATTTATGACCATTTTTTCAAAGGTACCTTTGCAGCATCCCCGTGATTAAAATTCAAATGCTTGCTAACTGGTTCCTATTTATGGCCATTGCTGTGTCCCAAGGTCTCTTCTGACGAGGAAAATCAATAAGGAAGTCAGATTCATTTAATAACCAGCTTACTAATTTATCAACCGCCGTGGCAAGAAATGTTGTAACATAAGGCAAAATTCACGTAACCAATGTCTCATTGAAAAGCAGAAATGTGGGGCTCATTTGTGGTTGCAAGTCGAGGGCTATTTGTACATGCAGAGCAATTCTAAATTGAAAAGCATCAGCAGCCTTCAAACTCTGCCCAAAGCAGCCTTAAAGCCAGTGAAATATGAAGTCCATCTTACACACTCACCTTTCCTTGTTGTAGGAGACGAACTAACATTCGCCTGGCCAGAGCCCAGCGCCTTCCGAGGAGCCCTAGCAGCTACCACTGGCAAAAGGAAAGAATGAGAGATTATTTACATTTAAAAATGCCATTAAATCCAGTTATCTAGGTCGCAGACCAATTGCTTCTTTTTACAATCCACAAAGAGTAGGACAATTTAAAAGCATGCAGGGGTTAAAATGGGAACAAGGGTGAATGCATCCTACTCCAAGCTGCTTCCAGTATAAGCTAATGGAACCTGACTGGATGTAGTTCCCAGTGTTGTGTGAATGCAGCACAAGACAAACCCTTTATTTTCTTTGTCTTCTTGAATTAAAAGTCAGCACCTCATTTCCTTGGAAGTTAGAGAAATCGCAAAAAGCTGACTTTTGTGTATTTCATCTCAGCAGCCATTGGAGGTAGGGCTACTTGAATGAGAGCATTCCTACATTTCAAAGGGCTTGCACTAGGAATTGCAATACACACCCTGCGGTCAAGCAACACGGTCAGCTAAACATCTAAGGGCCTGGGCACCCTATGCTAACCTCGGCTGCCTTTTTCACGGCTTTCTGTGTCTTAAATCCAGCTTAATGGCCTAAACCTAGTTGAAATCCATCCCGCTTAGAAGGAAGATGGAGGAATGCAAGGCAGCTGCTTCAAATATGACAATTCACACTGTTCTTTTAACCAGGAGGCTACAAGGCAACTAGTCAGACCACGGATTAGTCTCTTTGCTTTGCTTTGCTTTCCCCCACCCCCCACACATCTGGTGTGAACCTAACCTTTTTAAGCAGTTAATTGTTGGGAGACCTTATGCAAGCGGGCTGATTCTGCATCCTGGTTAGTTCTGTATTCCAGTTAGTTTTATATCCCACTTAATTGTGCATCCAGGTTAGTTCTATATCTTAATTGTGCATCCCAGTTAGTTCTATATCTCACGTAATTCTGCATTCCGGTTAGTTCTATATCTCACTTAATTCTGCATCCTGGTTAGCTCTATATCTCACTTAATTCTGCATTCCAGTTAGTTCTATATCTCACTTAATTCTGCATCCCGGTTAGTTCTATATCCCACGTAATTCTGCATCCCAGTTAGTTCTATATCTCACTTAATTCTGCATTCCGGTTAGTTCTATATCTCACTTAATTCTGCATTCCGGTTAGTTCTATATCCCACTTAATTCTGCATTCCGGTTAGTTCTATATCTCACTTAATTCTGCATTCCGGTTAGTTCTATATCCCACTTAATTCTGCATTCCGATTAGTTCTATATCTCATGTAATTCTGCATCCTGCTTAGATCTATATCCTACTTAATTCTGCATCCTGGTTAGTTTTCTATCCCACTTAATTCTGCATCCTGGTTAAGCCTGTGCAAATGCTTTTACCTTTCCGATAGGCACCGGCGGTGCCTCCGCAGTTCGCCTTGGTCCGCACCATGCCCGTCCTTTGCCTCTGCCTTTGCAAAAACGGAATAAAACGAAAGCCGGGAAGGAAAGCAGGAGAAAAGGCAAAAGGTGCAACTTTCTTGCAAGCGGCCGAACTGCTGCTTCCTACTGCCGCAAATATTCGGGCTTCCCGCGCGCGCGCCGCGCTCTCATTGGCCGAGGCGGAGACGGCGAGCGGCCAATCAGGAGCCAGCCCGCGACTTTCACCCGCGCTTTGAAACTCCGGCCGGGGAACTCTGGTTCTCTTCGCCGCCCGGAATCGGAATCCCATAACATGCAATATATATTATTTATTGAAGATTTTACATAAAGTAACAAAGCAAATCTAAAGGAGAGGTGGGGGAAAAGGAAGAAAAAAGAAGTGGAAGAAAAGTTCTTATATCCCACTTAATTCTGCATCCTGGTTAGTTCTCTATCAATATATACTATTTATTGAAGATTTTACATAAAGTAACAAAGCAAATCTAAAGGAGAGGTGGGGGGAAAAGGAGGAAAAAAGAAGTGGAAGAAAAGAACAATGCACGACGCCTCCCTAAAGAGTTGTAAAGAATGGAATCCAAGGGGTGGGGTGTGAAAAATATAAGTGTGTAACTTATAAGTTTATAATATATAGTTTATAGACTGACCAGGCTGCCTGAGTTTGTACAGTGCTGCACTGACTAATCATGTTTTAGCCCAGTGTGTTATAGGAAGCCATCTAGTGAGATATCACTCTGAAAAAAACATGCATAGGAAGGCCTTGCCAATAATACCAAAGGTAATCCTGCAGAGATCTAATATCATCTATGCTAAATAAATCTCAAAGGGAAATGGAAAGTAGAAGCACCGTCCCTTGTTTAAATCTGCAATTCTCAAAGAGAACTCCTTCCTTATCTTTTAAGGCCCCCTACTAATCGCCCAATAAACACCTCCTTAAACCCTTTTTCTGTTACCTATCTGGAAAGGTAAACAGTGCCATTCCACACCCAATCAAAGCTGAATTAGACTGACAATACAGCCAATCTAAACCCATCAAGCTTTGGTCAAAAGTGATAAAAGGCAGCTTGGCTTCTGCAACTCCCTCCATTATCATGGTAAATAAAATCCTCAAAGCTTAATTGGTGTTAAGCCACTTGAGTTCCATTGTCATTCACCAGAAGCAAGATGCCAAGAACCACTGCTGCAGTTAGTTTGTTGATTGAGAAATGTGTCACCAGCACCTTCCCAGGCCTGGCATCAATGCCTATAGGAAAAGGAATGGCTATACAGTGACTGTCTAATATTTATTTTCTAAATACATTTTTATCAGGTTTTCATCGTAGGCTACGAGAAATACAATAACATTACAATACAATTCTTTATTGGCCAAGTGTGATTGGACACACAAGGAATTTGTATTTGGTGCATATGCTCTCAGTGTACATAAAAAACAGACCAACAGATTCTTCTCTCCTGCTGTTTTAGCCAGAATCTGATATTTGGTGGAAAAATATGCTTGATTTTGGGGGTAACTACCCATCAACCTCCCTTTCCATGCATTTCTTTTCATGTTTAAATCAGCAGCTGTCACCACATCCTTTGTTACCAAAAGGCACTGTTTAAACTGTGAAGAAGCATTTCCTGTAAGAAGGTACAGGTTAGATTTGCTAATATAAAACCTACCTTCTGTATTCTATTTATTGAAGCGTGCTTAATGCTTGAATATTAAAGGGCCAGTAGATTGGTTCAGAGAAAACGAATGACGATGATTAGGGGACTAGAGGCTAAAAAGAAGGGTTGCTGGAATGAGGTATGTCTAGTTTAATGAAAAGAAGGACTAGGGGTGACATGATACCGGAGCAGTGTTCACTGCTCAGAGGTTACCACAAAGAAAAGGGGGGTTATTCTCCAAAGCACCAGAAGGCAGGACAAGAAGCAAAGGATGGAAACTAATCAAGGAGAGAAACAACCTAGAACTAAGGAGAAATTTTCTGATAGTGAGAACAATTAATAAGTGGAACCACTTGGCTCCAGAAGTTGTGAATGCTCCAAGACTGGAAGTTTTTAAGAAAAGATTGGATAGCCATTTGTCTGAAGTGGTGTAGGGTTTCCTGCCTAAGCAGGGGGTTGGACTAGAAGACCTCCAAGGTCCCTTCCAACTCTGTTATTCTCTAATCCTAAATCAATTAACCAGTGGAAGAACTTGCCTCCAGAAGTCGTGAATGCTCCAACACTGGAAGTTTTTAAGAAGAGATTGGATAGCCATTTGTCTGAAGTGGTGTAGGGTTTCCTGCCTGAGCAGGGGGCTGGACTAGAAGACCTCCAAGGCCCCTCCCATCTCTTCTTCTGTTCTATTCTAAATCTAGCCCTCCACAGACTACAGGTAGTTCTTGACTTATAACCATTCCTTTAGTGACCGTTTGAAGTTACAGCAGCACTGAAAAAAATGACTTATGACCATTTTTCACGATCATTGCAGCATCCCCATGGTCACTTGATCAAAATTCAGACCCTTGGCAACTGGCTCCTATTTATGACGGCATTTGGAGGTCAAGTGATCTCCTTTTGCTACCTTCTGACAAGCAAAGTCAATGGGGAAGCCAGATTTACTTACCTGTGTTGCTAATTTAACACGTGCGGTGATTCACTTAACAACTGTGGCAAGAAATGAGACAAAAACCCTCTTCTCGGCAACAGAAATGTTGGGCTTACGAAAGCACATAAACAATGCAAGGAGAAAAATAGGGACCACCTTTGGTGGGAAGGGAACAGCGTTCCGTGCACCTTTGGCGTTGAGTCATGCCGGCCACATGATCATGGAGACATCTTCAGACAGCGCTAGCTCTTCGGCTTTGAAACGGAGATGAGCACCGCCCCTTAGAGTCGGGAACAACTAGCACATATGTGCGAGGGGAACTTTTACCTTTTACCTTTACATCGAGGACTGCCTGTGGTTTCAGCAAAACTACAATAACAGGACGGAGAAGTCAGCATTTTGGAGGCCCATCACCGAAAGAAGATGGACTTGTGGGTGAATTGACAAACACTGATGAAGTGGACATGTGTCAAAGACCTGTCAAGCAAAACCGTGCTAACCACAGATGTACACATGTTGGAAATGTGACAAAAATGATGGCATGTTCCAGGCGGGTTAAGAAGAAAGGCTAATTGGGAATCAGATGCTTGAGAAAATTAATTGTAATAATCAGGATCAATGGGAAATAAAGGCCTGGATTATGGGCCCAATTTTTAGAAGGTTTTCACCAATGCTCAAATAAGGTCCATCATTTCACTTGTCCTGATCTGCGTCTCTGCTGTGTTCAGGTAAGCTCTTGATAAAACTGGTCTATCAACTAAGGGCCTTGAACTTAGGAAAAACCTTCATTTTCTGCTGTCGTCCCAAAAGTCGCCGTCATTTATCTTCTCTGCAATTGTTTTCTTGCTTCAGCAAAAGGAAGTTGAGTACAGACAGTCCAACCGAATCCTAGAGCTTTCCTTGTTCATGAAGCCAAGAAGATAAATAAAAGCCGCAGGAATTTCCTGATGCTGGATGTTTAGAAGTTATACTTGTGTTTCCACTCAATAGCAAAGGTTTCCACTGGCTTTTTCTCCAACATTTTGCTGATCGTTGCAATCAACTGCTTCTGGGAACAAATTACAAAATGTCTGTATTGGTTTGACCATGTCAGTTTGAAGAAAACACATTTTATGAAGGATGATCTAAGTCATTGGGTGGCCCATTCCAGTAAGTATTGATAAGCACATCCCAAAAAATAGACAATTGCAAGGTTAAGGTTTCCTTTAAAAAGTAGAGTAACAATGCAGGCTTGGAAGGTTTCCCTAGAAATTCCCAACACCGTTAACTGAGTTTTCGCATTATGAAAAATGAACCCTGTATTGGAGCTGGGTTTGTACCAAATGTCTTCTGGTTCACTCAATTCATCTAATTTTCTGGCTTTCCTGCATCCAGTTTTGATCACCATATTACAAAAAAAATGTTGAGACTTTGCAAAGAATATGCAATGAGCAACATCAGGACATCATAATTTGAGAATCGGAGTTCGACAGTCAGATTCTTTAGCTATTCCACTATCATAAACTCTAAAAAACTTCTTGGAACTTCTATTTTTACTTTACATGACCTTGTTGTGGAAGAACCATTTATTCTTTCTACTTATTATTTGTCCAAGTTATCTACCCGCTAGTGGGCATCCTGAAGGCTCAGAGTCTGAATAAACATTCAGCCTTGTCTTTCAGCTCCTGTAACCAGCTGCAGATGTGTGTCCTTGAAGCTGGAATGCAGGCAGCCATTTTTTAGTCATAAACAATGGAACAATGTCATAGCAGGAGAGATATATAATCTTCACAGCTAAGGGGAGTCACAACTTTTTCTAAAAAAAGAGACTTTTTCCCTTTGATAAAAACTACAAAGGATTATTTTTGGAGAGGAGGAGGAGATTTTGATTGCTACAACATTTTATTTTATATCCCAAGGTTGGGCCTTGAGATATGAGAGGAATTTAAATTGGTATGTAGATAAATAACTCAACTCGATTGCAGAAAAGTTGGCATGGTCTCGGAAGGGGCTGAGAATAAAGATGTCTACTTACATATTCCAACGATATGTCTTTTCTCCTCTTCTTTTGACTTTGAGGTTTGGTTTCTTTGCTCCTTTTTCTCTTTTTTCAGATTCCTGGAGAAAAGAATTGGCTTCAACCAAGATTTTATTTTGCCAATCCATATGGTTGTTTTTAAGCCGTTATGAACTGTATGATGCAGCTCTAATATCACTGTTAGCTATTTTTATTCTAATCCTCCCTTCCACAGGAGTCTAAATATATATTTCATACACAAACACAGAGGGTTCAGGACAGGTTGGGAGACTAGGATGAGGGAATAAGATAGCTTTCAAGAGGGAAAAAATGTAAGACTTGACCGACCTGAAATTAAAGTTCGCATTTTTTAAAAGTTGCCAAATTTGAGAAACACTGGACTTCTTGACTCTATCCAACTCTACTAAGATGTTCTAGTTCCGTGATGGCGAACCTGTGGCACCATTTCTGGCCTCGGGGGTGGGGGTGTGTGAGGAGGCCGTTTTTGCCCTCCCCAGGCTCCAAGAAAGCCTCTGGAGCCTGGGGAGGGCAAAAAAACGGGCTTA